AGGAACTACTTGAACATTAGTCCCCATTCTGACTAACAACAGATTCATGCAGTAACAGATAGTAAAAATTTCAAATGCATCCTTCTCATTTAAGATACTTAAATTTGTCATGTTAAATTATCTTCCTATGTCTTTCCAAAGCCAACCAACAGTAGTATTTGAGGAACATTAAAATACTCCCTTTTTGCCTTTCTATCAAACTATTTTGAAGAGAAAATGACAGTTAATTTACTTATTTTTTGTTCCCACACTAACTTAACCACAAAACTGAACAAATAACAGGCAATCTGTCATTAATCTAATGTAAATGGATTCACTGGGCTATGATGATAGCATTTACTCATAAGTGGTACAGGCAGTACAATTATGCTGAGAAACGAATTAACTGAACTGCCATGAGAAAAAGATAAGTCTCCTGGTGAGATTCTCATGCTGTAACATGTTTAGAGAAAAGCCTGTCCCATCACAAAGTATTTTAAATTCTTGAGATCTGTGTTGCAGCTTGGCTGTAAATAATCTTTATTAAATATAAAATAAATATAACCAGTGCAATTTATCTTTTCCCCACTACACTTATAATTGCACTTCTTTCTATTTTAGGATCCTTGTCTATCAAGTCCCTTCCTCACTGGATCTGATAAGTGACACTTTCAATGCTCCAAACCCCTATAATTTAAGAATTTAAATCAAGATTAGTAGAATTTAAGGCTCTAATTATAGGAGAGAGACAAGTGTTGTGGGAGGAAGGGTGGGGCATATATTTAATCACAAATTTGTTTATTGTTTCAGAGTTGTTATACTCTTTCCTTCCTCCAGATCAGGGCAGCTTACAAGACAGCATACAACAGTCATAAAATATAAAATAAAATAAAGGTAAACGGCCTCTAAAGACTAACGAAGTGTACAATACAATTAGAGTAAACTCTGTCAGGACTGTCGTGGAATGAAACCACTTCCTGCAGGTTCAGGTTGACAAGCCTAACTAAAAGACAAGGTAAAAACTGATAGCTACAAAAGCAGGCAGAGTCTATTCCCAAGAAGCAGTTTGCGCAGGAAAGGCAGGTGCGGACAGAGGAATGGGAAATGGAACTGGTGCAGTCACAGAACCAGGAAAAAGCTTTTCGAGTCAAGGAAGCATAACAGAAGTAGGCAGAGGCAGGCCAAGGAACAGGGATGAAGGGCTGCTCAGGGAAGGGATTGCTGCACAAAGATCAACAGCTACAGCAATTAGGTTTTTAAAGGAAATGAGAGCCTTTGGCTCTCCAGGTGTCACTGAACTACAACTCCCATCAGCGCAAGTTACTCAGCCATGGGGACAGGGTCACAGAAGTGAAGAAGCTGGGGAATGAAGGGGACGAAGAGCATCAAATGAATGAAAGTACCAGATGAGGTATGTTAGGCTGGAAGAGCTACTGAGCCAAGGTCACTCAGTAAGCTCTATGGCTGAATAGGGAAGTGAATGTGAGTGCATGAGATCCTAGTCTGATGCTTTAACCCAGAAGTGGCTGACCTGTGGTCCTGCAACTCCTTGACAATTGGGAGCTGCAGTCTTCAACCAGGCCTTCAGCTGCTTAAACAATCCGTCGTGGCCTTTTAAATGTGTATGTGGGGTGTGTGTGTGTGTGTGTTGTTGTTTTTCGCTATTATGTTTTTATGCTGTAAACTGCCCTGCGATCTTCAGGTGAAGGGTGGTATATAAAATTAATAAACTACAGCAACATCATCATCAACATCTGAAGAACCAGAAGTTAGACACCTCTGCTTTAACAACTATACCATACAGGCTTTCAAAAGCTCACTAAACCAAGTTGTGACTACATGATGCATAGCTATATGCCTACCTCACATCAGACATGACGTGGCAGGCAGCTAACCTACACAGCCTGTATGGTTCTCCAGGTCTTTTTCACATCAGCTATGCGCAAATGTGCAACTGACACATCTGATTGCTCCTGCAGTCACTGTGTTGATGTCTGCTTGAAGTCAAAGCCAAGGTTTCCAGCACAAGGTATATACCCTGATGATTCATGGAGCTTCACACATGCAGGTTTGATGTTGCCTGAGACTCCAATATACTAAACTAACAAGCTTCAGGGCAGCAGAATACAGCAAGCTTCTAACTGCATATAGATGCCATGCAGAAAATGGTGAAATGTCTGTGGCTTAATCCATCAGCGTAAGCCCTTTATAAATGTGCTTTTGGCTTTGGGAAGTAAAGGCAGGAAAAAGGAGAGAGAAATAAGTGCTCTCCAAAACATAGTGAATGGAAAATCAACAACCCGGCCAAATTCCCAGTTTGCTCAACAGCTATGCCTGCTGCTAATCCTCCTTCTGGTTTGCTAAACTCCTTTCTGCCTTGTTTCCCGCTCTCTCCCTCTTGTGTTTTTGGCACAGAATTTACCTGCCCTGTGCAACTTGAATGGCATGTTTAATTTGTGCACTCAGGTTGCCATGAAACAGAAAAACTTTGCAATTCATGAGAATAAAACAGAGATGTTCTCAAGATGTGTCATTTCAGTACATTTTAGTTCCTCCATCTCTTAAATCCTTCCCCCTCCTTCAAAAATAGTACAATATAAGGAGTGTGAAGTAAAAAATGTAGCAGCTGCTCACTTGATGGAATATTTATATTTGCCATATAAGCATTACAGAAGTGGCCTGTTAAGCACTGCAAGCCAATACACTTTAGCTCTGTGTTTTATTTAGCCTAAATAAAGCAGCCAGCTACATTTTGAAGACAAAAAACGTGAGTGACAATGGAAGGGTTAAAAGGGGAAGAATCAGTCAACTACATTTTTTACATACCTTAGCTTTTCTTGGAAATAGTTGACTTTTTATTTTAGCAACTGAGAACAACTCCTTTAAAACATAACTATTCAAGGAAGCACAATTCCCTGTTGTTTTAAATGTAAGTAACTACTATACTGTTTTCAATGGTGGCCCTAGGGTTTTGGGGGCCCCGGGCAAAAGAGTCATTTGGGGCCCTTTAAAGGTATGAAAGCAAGTCAGGCATGAAATTTAACTTGGTTCTATATATGAATCTGCGATGGGAGGATAGATAAATGTATTGTAATACATTAATTGTGGTCAATTCTGATTACAGCTGGAGTGGAGAACATCACTTAATGCATGATATTAATGCTACACTGTAAATAAATGAATGAATGCAAGCAACAAAGAAAAAGAAATAAGCCATTACTTCCATATCTGGTGCTCTTACATAAACAGAAGCAGCAACCTATCAAAAATCCCTTTAAAAGCATACTGTATGATATTGTGGTTGAAAGAACATGTAATGAATTGGTAAAAGCCAGTTCATCAGTAAGTAACGATGAATAGTTTAAAGAGTCAATTCTCTACAAGTGTATTTAATGAAACAGACCTCTTCTGAGCCTTCTTAGCAAAGTCCTCAATAAAATAACTACAGTAATCCAAACCTAACCCAATTTTATGTTCATGTGAAAATGGTGCATAATCCTACCAGGACAGTGGTCTTCAACCAGTGTGCCATGGCTCCCTGGGGTGCCTTGGATGATGATCAGGGGGCCGCAGGCAACTCTGACCTCTGTCCCTCTTTCCTTTCCTCCCTCCTCTGATGCCCTCTCACATCCCAGTCCCCCAAATACTCATGTGGCTGTTTATTGCAGCAGCCCTGGTTACAAGCTCTGTGGGCAAATGGCACTTCTGGGGATGGCCAGGGGGTGCTGGTTGCCAGGAGCTGAGGTGGCCTCGGAGTAAGCAAGCAAGTGGGTGAGGGAGCCCAGCCAGCCAGTCCACCAGCCCTTGCTGTTGGGAATGGACAGACAAGTGGGAGGCCAGCTAGCCAAGCAGGCAGGCCCTGTGCTGGCCTTTCTTGTGCTTGCTGTGTGCAATGCCTGCCTGGGAGCTGAGGGCCCAACACCTTTCCACCATGCAGGCCCAGCAGCCCCCACTGCTGCCTCCCAAGGTGAATAAGGTGCTGACCTCATGTTCACCTTTGGCAAGTCTCCACTGGACTGCTAAGGCAGGGGGCATCCTCTTATCAGGCTCCTGGGGGCCAGTGTAAGGAGGCACCTCTCTTTGCGGCAGCTTAGAGATGACAGAGGACTCCCAAGGAGAGAGAGGAGAGGAAAGGAGACTGGGGGGGAACATGCCACAAGGGAGGGGGTTCAGAAAGGGGTGAGGGGCTGCCGGCTCTGCAAGCAAGGGGTGACGTAACTGGGCTCTGAAACTTGGAGTGCATTTCCCCACATGGCAGCCACAAAAAGAATGTAGTTGGTCAAGGGAGCCGTGGACTCAAAAAGGTTGAAACCCTCTGTTCTATGATGTTCTTGCAAACAGTAGAGCACAGTAAATGTTTTATCAATTTCAACTTTGAAAATGAAGTCTCACCAGATGCAACAGTAGCAGGAACAATAGGAATAATGTGAAGCAGAAAGGAACTATATGCCATTATTGCCCCAAATTTTGTCACTCTACTCCCATGATTTTCTGAGTAAAGGAGAATGCAAATGGATTTCCCCCCTGGAATCATATAACACCCAAAAGAGAGCTAATTTTCCAGAAGTGGCTTTTATGTCACGGGAAAACTCAAATGTAATGTGGAAATTACCGTATTTTTCGCACCATAGGGCGCACCTAGTTTTGGGAGGCGGAAAACAAGAAAAAATTATTCTGAACCCCAGAAGCCAGAACAGCAAGAGGGATCTGGCTTCTGGGATACCGTGTGGCTGTTCTGGCTTCTGGGGTAACCGCGCCAAGCCTCTTCAGGGCAGCGGGATGAAGGCTCCCCCTGCCCAAAGAGGCTGCGCAGGGCTAAAGCAGAAGCCAGGACAGACGCGTCGCTGAAGGGGCGCTGCGCCCTCTCCCTCTCTGCGCAGCGCCTCTTCTGTGAAGGAGGGGCGCTGCACAGAGAGAGAGAAGGCGCAGCGCCCTTCAGCGAAGCTGGAGAAGGAACAGAAGGAGACCCTTCTGTTCCTCCTCAGGCTTCGCTGGACAGGCGCGTCGCTCAAGGGGCGCTGTGCCTTCTCTCTCTCTCTCTGCACAGCGCCTCTCCTTCACAGGAGAGGCGCTGCGCAGAGAGGGAGAAGGCGCAGCGCCCTTCAGCGAAGCTGGAGAAGGAACAGAAGGAGACCCTTCTGTTCCTCCTCCGGCTTCCAGGACAGGCGCGTCGCCGCGAAGCCAAGGAGCCTGCATTCGCTCCATAGGATGCACACACATTTCCCCTTCATTTTTGGAGGGGAAAAAGTGCGTCCTATAGAGCGAAAAATACGGTAGCAGTTAGGGAAACATCACAGAAATGGAATAAACCACTGTGGGAATGCAGCCTGATCAACTACAAAGGAGGCAGGCAGGGTTCTGGAGGTACAAGATTCTGGAGGCCTCTAAAGTGTGGGGCCCTGGGAGGTTGCCTGGTATGCTGCCCCAAGCCAACACTGTCCTTTGATGATTATCATTATCATTATCATTATTAATGTTAGTCATGTAACAGATAAAAGGACAGGACAGAAGTAATTTGCCCTTAGGTTTTAACAGAAGGGAAGTAGGCTATGGGACTCCCCCTCCACCGCAAACAGGTCCCGCAATTCTTCTGGCTCCCTTTATCAAGGTAGATATTAAGCACAGTCAATGCAAACTTGGGAGTACTCTGCCTCTACATTTCTTAACAGAAGGAAGCAATTCTTCAGCCGTTATATGTCTGGCAACAGAAGTCTGACATAGGGCAGTGGACTTGAAAAAGCTGGAGCAGCGGACAATTAAAGGGCATTTATGCCCTGACAATGCCTTGAACGGATGTGAAACTGCTGCTAAGCTCCTAGAAACAACAAAGAATAAAGTAAAGATGGTGGGCTGTATTAATGCTGCACCCAAAAAATATTCTGCTTTTTTTTAAAAGTAGCAGGCATTCAGAAGCATATTGCCTCTTCACTTATTTCCTCTGCCAGTTTCTTCTGCGGAAGGTAACAAAGTCTCACTTCAGCTGCACAAGATCAACTGATGTTATCAGATTACAGACCAGAAATGGGAAACCTATAGTAGTCCAGCAACATCTGGAGGGAAACCCATCCCCCTGGCACTGGCCATTCTGGATGGGATTTATGGGAGTCAGGGGTCCAACAATATCTGGCAGATGACAGGTTCCCCACCCCCTTGCAGACACAGTATAAGCTTCTTAAATTCAGCTTTTTTAAAAACAAGCAAACAAGCAAACTTTAAAATACTGAGGAAGTAGCTTGCATGTACCCAGTGTGTGTATGTGTAGATTTACGAAAGTACAGCATTTAGCGTTACATTGGGATAACTCCAAAAGCAAGTTAAAACATTTCAACACATTATAATTATTTTTACAGAACTACTAGAACATTCTGCATTACTGAAAAGCTGTATTTTGCCTGCCATTTTTCTACTTCATTTATATGGTATAATTTATTTTACAGCTTCACTTCCAACCACCAGTTGGTAGAAGAGATACCGCACTTGACTCAAGAGGTACTCACATTTCAGTTGTGGGAACCCCATCTTGATAGAAAAAGCCAATAAAGTGTTCTGGCATTTGAGTTGTCTCACACACCCTTCTTCCCCTTCCAAATTATTTTACAATTTGGACTTTAAAAAGTCACTATTGTACTTGCATACAATACTTTTTAAAGTACTGTTCAGTGGCAAAAACACACGTACAAGGACACACTTTCAAGAAGAAGAACACAAGGTATGTGGGAGTGAAAAGCAGAGGGAGGGGGCGGAAATGAGAATAGCAAAAATCTCAGATATATTGAACTCTCTGGTTGTTTCCTGTTGATATATTTCTTAATTTTTTTACTCATGTGAAACTCGATGCCATCTGTTTTTAACATCTACTCCTTGGCTGGAGCCTCTATGCTACAGTTTTAAACAGCAACATTCCCATAAGAATTAAGCACAGAGAGAAGTTAAAACTTTGCACAGTGCGGAGGAAGAAAGCGCAACACATAATTGGAGTACCATTACAACACTGTCATGAGACAAACTACAGCTGTTTCAGAAAAGAATTAGGGAAAAAGTTAACTGACTATTCAAAGTGAAGACAGACCAGATGTAACTCAAAGCAGGCCCTGCTGGGTGAGGGCAAAGAAGACCTGAAATAAAATTTGCTTTTGAAAGATATTATTGGTAGGGCAATACAAAGTTATTTTGTCTACTGTTAATTAAGTTGTTTTCTTTTAACATCTATATATAATACTTTAATGTCTTAAGATAGTGACTTAAGACAGTAATGAGAACTATTAACTTGCTGAGCGGTATTTAAAAAGTAACCCAGAAATCTCTTTCCAATATCTGTTTGGTGGTATGCCTAAATACTAAGAAAATAATGGATGTGGTGGCATTCTCTGCGCTGCATATTCATTTCTATGCTGCCACTCAAGGAGATCACTTCTTCATTGGTATCAACAGGCAAACATGCACAAATGGGATGCATTTACTTCATCCCCAACAAGGAAATAATCAAGACATGAACACATACACACTACATGAAAAGGCCAAACTACTTAGCTGCAATCTAGGTTGTAATTTAACAAATTTATATAACACTTCAAAGAAGTACAAGATAAAAACAGAACAAAACAAAAAACTCAAGTTTGAAAAACAAATAAATAATTTCAACAAACCTTAAATACAATAAAAGTTGTTTTACAAATTTTATCAGATATACAATGAGATAACAATGGCAAAGGTTGGCTGAGTTGCCTGTGTGTCACAGAAAGACTGGGTAGAGAGGAAAGTCTCTGGATGCCACCGGCTGAGTTACAACGTGCTCAAGGTTGCTACCTGCCAGTGTCTGGATCAGGTGGCTGATCAGGAATGGGTGCACAGCACAGGAGGGAGAACTACATCTTCCAAAGCCACTGTGACAGGGAGGAGGGGAAAACTCCCTTCAACTCCTCCCCTGATAACTTGACCACTGGAAGGGAAATGTGTTTGGAGCGTGGCATGCAGACGCCGGCAAGGAACAAGATGCGCTTAAACACTCAGTTTGGTTGGAGGCTACAGCTATGGTGCTTACTATTTTGAAACCTGGAAAAATCCCTAGCCAAACCAACAGAGCTTCCTAGAGTCAGCCTGTTTTGAAGACAGACCCAAAGTTGGAGATGAGTTTGGGAGGATAAAGAAGGGCAACAGAGAAGTATAGAGTGGTGTCCTCATATACATGCAGGGGGAAATATGCAAGGCCTTTGGGTTTCCCTAAAGTAACTTCCCAGATTTTGCACTAACTGAAATGAAAATTATGAGTCATGTAACAACATAACAGAAACAGAGAGAGATAGAATATATTCCATCAAGGAAGACAAGTAAGGCAAGGTCGATTAAAATGTATTTGTTTTTGTCACAGCTGTCATTTCCTTCAAATCCTCATGACCTTTTCATTATGGTTTTGATCTATATTGCCTGTTACAGGCAATTTATTGACCGGAAAAATGCACAGTGATCATCCATGCCATAACTGTATGTATAGATTTAAGGAAACATTAGTGAATGGCCTATTAAGTGTGGGTACATCGATTCTCCCTTTAAGCAATTATAATTTTGACAGCACCATTTGCTGTATATTGCCAAAACAAAACAAAAAGACTATTATTTATTGTTTTAGTGAAACACTGTAACCTTGCTTGAATAGTTCAAGTAACTTGCCCTAAATAGACCTCAGCAAAACACTTTGCATACTGGTTTAGAGGTGCTTAAAACACCTAATGATGTTAATAACCAACTTTCAAAAGGCAAGGTTAAAGTGCCCAGTATTCTAAATGGACTACCCTTTAACCTCTGGATTTAATAATACAGTCACACCTTGGTACTCAGATGTTTTGGCTACCGAACGCCGCAAACCCAGAAATGAGTGTTCTGGTTTGCGAACGTTCTTTGGAACCCGAACGTCCAATGGGGCTTCCACAGCTACTGACTGGCTGCAGGAGCTTCCTGCAGCCAATCAGAAACCAAAACATGGTTTCGAACAGACTTCCAGAACTGATTCACTTCGACTTCCAAGGTACAACTGTATTAATAGGAGAATATTCTCATTCTTACCTTCTCATCCCAACAGATTAGCTTCAGAGAGATTAAATGAGAATTTACTACAATAAAGTACTCTCAATTGTTTTTCTAAGATACTTCAGTGGCAAAGGAGTACCGATTTCCAACCCTAGCTGGTCTGCCAGCTACGATCATTCATGAAATGGGATAGACTTGCCACGATAATACATGCTCCAGTAACATTGTATTACATAGATTACTGTAATGCACTCTGTGTAAGGCTACCCTTGAATATAATGCATAGAACATACATAGATTACTACCCTTGAAGGTAAAGTGCTCAAGACTCCATTTAGTCCAGAAATCTGTGCTAGACTATTGTGACTCAGCAGCTGGAGCAAGGGAGGCAGAGGAACTCCAAGGCAATTGTGGCAAGACGTTGTTTTTCATTTTAAATTTTTACAAATTCAAACAGATAGTTTTAATTCCAAATACAAAACATACATTTGCCATTGACTCCCCTCCCCATCCATAATTCGTTTTATGAACTCTTTTCTACTACATATTCTGTCTCTCCCTCCCCCCCCCATTCTCATTCTCCCAGTTTTCTATCAAAATATTTCTTACTGGTGAATTTATTCTAATGCTGTCAACATTTTAATGTGTTTACAATGATTCTTCAAATATTCTATGTATTTTTTCAATCTTTCTTATACATTTTTTCATTCTGACTTCATCAAATTAGCCAATTCTATATACTCAAGTCAATTTCATCTACCATTCTTCCTTTGTTGGCATTGTGTCCTCCTTACATTTTTGTGCATGCACCATATGTGCTGCAGTAGTTGCATACATGAAGAGATTTTTCTTCTGCATTGATTATGCCCAAATTAAAAGCTTCTGTGCTTTTGATAAATTTTTTAAACATTTTTTTTCAATTCATTATATACCATTTTCCAGAAGTTTTTAGCCATTTTGCATGTCCGCCACATTCGGTAAAGGTACCTACCTTCTCTTTATATTCCTAGCAGATATCTCATTTAGATTTATACATCTTTGCTAATTTACAAAGTGTCAGGTACCATCT